GTTATAACACTCGTGCTGGAGAGTGGTGGGCTGCCCTCATCAGTAGCAGTGATGCTGATGTTGTACTGAGGTGCAGTCTCTCGGTCAAGAGGACCGTCTACAACTAATGAATATGAATTCTTGTAGTTTGACTCCAATTTAAAAGGAACATTATTAGAAATTTTACATGTCACCATCCCATTTTTACCTCCATCTTTATCAAATATTGAAACAAGAGCAATGGCTGTGTCAACTGATGCATCCTCTTTAACAGTGTTCAATAGCGATGTGACTGAAATTTCAGGTGGGTTGTCATTAACATCTAAAACCTCAATCAGTAATTTGGCATGTGACGTGAGAGGGGAAGAGGCTCCATCACTGGCTTGTACTCGAAGTTCAAAAGCATTACTTTCTTCATAGTCAATATTCCTTTTATTCGTTACAGTTCCTGTTTTCTCATCTATAACAAATGAATTAGTTTGTTTCCCCTGACCAACTTCACTAAATGAATATATCACTTTTCCATTTTGTCCTTCATCTAAATCAGTCGCATTTAATGTAATTATTGGTGTGCCTATTTTAACATTTTCGTAGACTCTGGCTTTATACAACCTTTGGCTGAAAACGGGAGGATTGTCATTAACGTCCAGTACATTAACTATTATTGTCATGCTTCCGGATTTAGCAGGTGTTCCCCCATCGATGACAGTCAGTGTGAGCGTAATCACAGACTGTTTTTCCCTGTCTAAAACTTTCTGAAGCACCATCTCAGGAGTTACACCCTGAACTTTGTGTGCATCAAGAGAGAAATGTTCATTTTGACTCAGCCTGTAGTTGTTTACAGTGTTTTTACCCACGTCAGCATCGTGAGCTTGATGCAGAGGAAATTTTGCTCCCGCCGCTGTGCTCTCAGTAATGTTCATTGATTGCAACGTACTCTCAAATAAAGGAGAATTATCATTTACATCTAAAATCGTAATTTCAATACGGTACAGTTTCAGTGGATTATTAATAACAGCTTCTACACTGAGTGAGCATTTGGCGTCATTACCACAAAGCTCTTCTCGATCTATTCTCCCGTTAACATAGAGGGCTCCAGTTTTTAGATTTACCTCGAAATATTTCCTCTTTGATCCAGCAACGATTTGAAACATGCGGGCCTCCAAATCCTGGACATTGATGCTCAGATCTTTCGCGACATTTCCGACAACAGTCCCCAGATTCACCTCCTCTGAGACGGAGTAAGAGAGCTGCC